ATATTTAGTTTAGGTCTAATATCGCTATTTTAACTAGTTTTGACTCTTTTACTTTATTTTATCACAAAAATAAAAATTATAAAAATATTTTCTTTTATTTAGCTAATTGATATTTTATCTAGTTACTTTTAGTTTATTTACCTTTCATAAAATTAAAAAATAAATACAAAAATAGTATTGATATTTTATTTTTCCAAAAAATAAACGATAAGAAGAATGAATTTTGGGCCAATTTTGTGTTTTGATAGGTGCAATTTTCGGCCCAAACTTCCCTTAGCCCACAATTAATTCATATTCCTATACAAATACCTAATACAAGAAAAACAAAGGAGGAGGAACCTTAGAGCTCGAGGAAAGCTGCGCCTCAGCTTCTTTCTCTAAGAACAAAAATGCAGCAGCTGTTGCCTTTCTTCTTCCGCCAAACACACTCCATCACAACCAAAACTTCAACTCCAAAAGCCATGAAATTCCAGCCAAAAATTCCAGGAAAGTATGTTGAAAATCAGTCCAAACAAGCAACAAAAACGCAGCTGAAATTCCCATAAAAACAGCTCCAAGGAGTGACCAAAAACACCTGCTAAAAACCTCCCAAAAATCAGGTCACATCTAGCTTTAAAACTCCCTGAAATAAGCTGAAATTCCAGCTCAAAATTAGCTGAAGAACAGCCCTTCGAAATCAGCAAATCAGCTACGAAAATGACTCCAAAACACAACCATGAAACTCCTCAAAATCCCACTTGAAACCAACGTGAAAATCAGCCAACAGGCGGCTGAAAATCAGCGGCAAAATTGCTGAAAAAACCAGTCCAGCAACGTCGGGAAAGCACTTACAAATTTGGTCTGTCGAGGACTTCCGTTCGCGGTTTCCGGATGAGGTCCCAAATTGATTCGTGTTCCAATTTTATGGCTCTACACCAGCTACTTTGAGGTCATTTCTTTACTTTTTCTATTCCTTTTTATCATTATACATGTTTGTCTTTTGTGTTTCTCTGCCTCACTTATCTTTAATGTGATGAATGTATTAATTTTTGTTATTAGCTTACCACGTTGAAGTGATGGGAATAGTGGTTTGATTTAGAAGAAAGTTACTTGGTTAAATTGCTTTGCAAAACTATTTTAATGATGCTGAAACCATACGAATTAGGTACAAAGAAAATAGTTGGATATTGGGAGGTGAAAGATCGAGCCCGTTAGCTATTAAACTTTGACTTGTATACTTAGGAATTGGGACCGGTCTAAATAAATTAATAAATATATAAAAGGAGGGTTAAAAGAACATGAGCATGATTTAAAATTTTCTTTTTAATTAGTTTTCTTTTATTTGTTTATTTTGTTATATCGTTCGCTAGTAGCATGTTTAGGCCGACCACACGTGGATAGGCAAACCTTAGGTCTTTTATTTTATTTTTATTCGAGGTGAGAGGTCGTTCTCTTTAGTTTTTATTCAGGGGAATGCCCCGTGGATCTTGTATATATTTTTATCCGGGGTATGCTTCGAAGTAAATGTAAACGGAGGCCGAGGCATCATCGATGGAGCATTAGCCTAGCATAGTATAGAACTTTTAGTACTTTTATTTTATTTTTATTTTTATTTTCTTTTATTAGGTGGGGACGACCTCGAGCCTCTTTTGTGTTTATACCTCAATTTGAATATTTTAAAGGCCAACTAGATCGAGTATGCAACCGTGACTTTCACGAGACTCGGGGAATGCCTAACACCTCAAATGAACCCCCTTATCTGAATCTCTGGTGCAAACTGGTTTAAGAGTCACATGTGTTTTGAAGAAAAATTGTTATTTAAAAAATGCTGACCTGGCACATTGAAACCAAATGTCAGGTGGCGAATCTGAAAATCCTTCGAAACACAATCTTTTTGTCACTTTCAAAATTGAAAACCCTTTCGAGCTTTACAAATCACTTTTATTTATTTTTTGAGGGGTTAATGAAGTGAAAAAAGGGATGTGACAGTTATACTTGTAAAGCATGCCTATTTTTCCGTAACTGTGAACAATCTGAGCATCATATCTTTGAGTTGTTTCTCGTACTATTTTTATTAATTATGAGTTGTTCTTGGCTATTAGTGTTGGACTCTAACCGTTGTCCAAGCTCGTCACTGCTTTCAACCTAAGGTTAGGTTTGTTACTTATTGAGTACATAGGGTAGGTTGTACTTATACTACACTTCTGCACCTTACGTGCAGATTTTGGATGGTGACGTTGCAGTGTATGGCGGAAGTTGGCATTGAAGACGTACCTGTATTCCGGTTGTAGCTGCCTCTTATTCTTGGTAGCTTTAAATTTATTAATTTGTTCATGTACATTTCGAACAGATGATGTATTTACTTCGTACCGGCTTTCTAAACTCTAAGTCTTAGAAGCTCATGATTTGTACTTCTTGTCCTTATAAAGTTCTATAAAGTCTAGTTATTTCATCATCTATTTTCTGTCATGACCCGGAATTCCCACCGTCGGGATCGTGATGGCGCCTAACATTTCACTTGCTAGGCAAGCCAATGTTACAGAATTCACAAAATCAACTTCAACCAATTTTTAATAACAGAATTAATTAAGCTAAATAGAGTTTGCGAAATATTATAAAACCCAAAATATCTGAAATATTTAGGATCTGGAGTCACAACTCACGAGCTACTACGATTTACTACAAATAGAGTCAGAAAGATAATACAATGTTCTGAAGGAAAATAAATAGTAAAATAACAAGACTAGGAAGAGACTCCAGGGTCTGCGGACGCTAGCAGATCTACCTTGGTCTCCCGACGATCAAGTCTAGCTGCTAAACTCGGGGTTAACTCAGGCCAGTACCAAAATCTGCACAGAAGTGCAGTGTAGTATTAGTACAACCGATCCTATGTACAAGTAAGTGGCGAGCCTAACCTCAGCGAAGTAGTGACGAGGCTAGGACAAGACAACACAAACAAACTTGTGCAATTTAACAGTATATATACAAAATAATGGCAAGTAAGAGGTAGACAGATAATACCAGAAGGGGGACATGCTGAGGGGATTACAAGATAAAGGATCACAGTAGTAAAGAAACTTGATCAGCTAATACACCTTGAACCAATAATAACTAGTAACACAGTACCGGAAAAAGCACAGCATCACCCTTCGTGCTTTTACTCTCAACCTCAGATAATCAATAGAACAGCACAGCATCACCCTTCGTGTATTAACACTCTCATAACATGGCACGGCATCACCCTTCGTGCATTAACACTCACAATATGACACGACATCATCCTTCGTGCATTAACACTCACAAAACATAGCACGACATTACCCTTCATGCATTAACACTCTTCCTCACCAAAACAAAGAAAAAATAACAACAGGGAGATAGAAATATCAAGAACAAGTCCTACTTCAACAATTGGTTCCATAATACCAACCTCAACTTTGAATCAATACTCAATCAATACCAAATAAGAACGATCAACATAATAATAAACTAAACAAAGCATGGGTAATATGATCACGAAAAACTACCATTTTGTGAAAAAGACTCACTCGCATGGTATGACTCGACAACAACGCATAGGTGCTCGTCACCTCACCTATATGTTGTACTCAACATTCAAACACGTAGCAAATAAGCAAATAATACCTAATCCCTCAAGCCAAGGCTAACCCACACTTACCTCGCTCCAACGGCCAACTCAAAGCTCAATCACCGTTTTTCTCTTCACACAAGCCTCTGGACTAATAGAATCTAGCAAATTACCAACCAAATGGTTCAATTTAAGCCTTAGGAACTACACACGATAGCAAAGGATTCAATTTAGGATATTTTAAAAGTCAACAAAAGTCAATACCCAGGCCCGCTTGGTCCAAACCCGAAATTCGGACAAAAAACCGATTAGCCATTCACCCCCAGGCCCGGTTATATAATTGGTTTTGGAATCTGACATCAATTTGAGGTCTAAATCCCCAATTTGTCAAATCCCTAGTCTCTACCCAAAAACTCCCAATTTCACCATGGAAACCTAAGATTTTGGGTTGAATCTTATGAAAATGTAGTGAAAGATTGAAAGAAATTAGTTTAAGCTCACTTACCAATAATTTGGGGAAGAAAAGTTCTTTGGAAAATCGCCTCTTGTGGCTTAGGTTTTGAAATTTGGGAAATGAATCAAAAATCTCGTCTAAGTCATCTTTTGTTCAGCTGCAGATATCGCATTTGCGAATGAACAGAGTTTTCGCAATTGCGAATGAACAATTTTGCACCAGAAACCAGCAAAACCCAAACTTCTCCGAAATGATCCGAAAACCACCCCGAAACTCATTCGAAACCTCCCGGACACAAACCATATATGAATTTCAATCATAAAACCCCAGCTACGGACTTGCTCGCGCTTTCAAAACACTGAAAACGAGGTCATCTTAACTCGATATTGACCCTGGTAAAACTCCCAAATTTCTTAACTTTACTAGTATCTCAACCATCTTTAATCCCATATGCATTAGGAGTAGGACATGTATTATATATAGAGAGAGAGAGCTCATTGTATCATT